AAATTCATCCAAGCTAGTCGTTAACTTTCCCATGGGAATGATGTTGCTACTCCGAGTGAAATTGACAGTTATCTGTTCAGAACACAACGTTATACAATATGCCATTGATAGATGAAAACCTTGACTTTCTATTAATTATAGGTAAAATATAATGAAACATAAAAGAGAACTATCAATGAATTGTGAAAGAGGGTGTGGCGGAGAGGTTTCTATTTAATAGCTCTGTAACTAAACAAAATTGAAGGCTATAAAAATTTTGGTTTGTTTGAGAAATAACAATTTTATAGAGAGTATTTCACATTTAATTTCATACTATTTTTAGTAGTGGCAGATAAAATAGGGATGATGACATGCTAAGAGAAAATGTGTCAAGTGGGTCACATTATTGGAAATTCAGGATTTTTTGAAATATTGCCTTTTATAATTAAGAACTTAAAACTTCTATGCTATTAAAATGTGGGTTATTAGCTAAGATTTTATGTATAACATAAACAAAAAGTAGTTTAATAAAATTTCGAATGTAAGACACTAAAATCTTATGTCGTGTGCAGTAAAGGATAGCCGGGGTGATAGGTTTAAAAGGAATTTCAATCCTCTTTATCCTAAAATATTTACTATATCCCATTTTATGACTTGGGTAGTTGAGAGGGGTCTTGTTTTGCTTATAGCTGCTTTATATAAGACATCCTTATCCACTTTTTTTTGGGAGGTGCAAGGCACTTTTCTTTGATCAATGTCAGTTTTGTTATTTGTTCATGGAAGGAAGTCCACTATCTCCTCATAATTCCGAATGGGATGTGGTCCCATCCTTAGTCCTTGGTTGAGCACAGGTTCCATGTCCTCTCCATAATTCCAAGGGGAAGTGGAATACTCCTTGCCCACTTTGTTGGGGATTGAGGATGAATATTCATAATTCCAGACTGGATGAGTTCTGTTCTTTTGGTAGAGTATGGCATATACTATCCCATCATTCCAAGCCTAAGGTGTTGCCTTTTGGATTTCATCAGATGTAGGAGAAAGCTTGTCCACTTCAGTGATGCTTACTTTCTCATTGTGATTCTGGTGGTGTGAAATGCATCACTGGCTACAGGTTGGGATCCAATCAAAGTATATATAACATTGCAGACGATTAGTTCTAGCCATTTACGTGGGGTACATTTACCATGACCCATTAATTCCACCCCCAAGTTGTGGAACCTCGGCTATCTGGTTGGGGCTGACCTATTCTTACTATTACTCATTTTCTATTCCACCTTTGATATAGGAACTGAGTCCTTGGTGAAGAGCATACCTGTTCTGGATGTAGTGTGGTTCCCCCACTTTTGTACCATCTTCACCTTGGTACACTTCTGTTCTGTACAGATGCTTTCTGCATGGTTCATGCCTGCACCAGCCCCTCCACCTTCTCAATGTGGGATTCTAGCTATAGTGTCAGCAGAGGTAAGTATGTTTTGGAAGTTAACATTTTCCTAAACTGAAAATGTATTTCCAATAATACTTACCTCAGCTGACACTCTCCAACCTTACTTCCCCACGAAAAGCCGGTTTATGTCTTGGAAAAGTGATTAAATTATCTGAATTGAGGTACTTATATACAGTACCTAGATAGAGGGTGCATTGAAGTTGGTGGAGAATTTTGCAAATTAGAATTTGCCAAGGGCATTTAAGTGGGGTATAAAAGACTGGAGCAAGTGTTTTCAATGCTTGGATGGGCAAAGAGTGGAAACCCTGGAGATTGAGAAATAGCTCTAGTGTCAGCGGAGGTAAGTATTATTGGAAATGCATTTTCAGTTTAGGACAATATTAACTTTTCTTCATTTTACAATTGTGAAATTTCATCTCTATAGTCTCTATAACCTCCTAAATGAATATTGTTTTTTTTTTCAGTAAAATTTTAATTCTTATTTTCTCTATGCATTTGGTTGATTTGACTGACCTTATAACCACCATAAAAATATATCTAAATTACCCCTTTTTTCTTTTGAGAATTACTACAAATTGTAAAAGGATATTACAATTGTTTATCCTAAAAAGCTTAAAGTTCATAAACTCTGTACTTAATTTTATAGTTTTATAGCCTTTTGGCCCATGTCTAACTAATAGTCGTGCCACACAAGTGGTAAATCACTTGGCAAAAGTGTAGTTCATGCTACTGAATTGAATGATGTAATGCACACCTGCTTGTGAGTAAACATTGTGAAGAATTTTTCATTTTTTCATTAACCTATCTAACCTAATAAATTTCTAATTATTACATTTTAGTTAATTTTATGATAATAAATAAATAAAGAATATATGTGAAAAAAAGAAATATCGCTTACCTGTGACCTCTTATTTTTTTGCTGTTGGTTACTGATGAAATTTAACCCTACTTTTTATACCAATGGTACTAGTAACTAAATAATTTTTTTATTATTTATATAGTGCATCTAAGAACACAGAATAATAACATATACAAATCAACTGATGCCCTTTAACTTTCATAATTTATCTGGCTTTCTATCTGGAATGAGAGCTTATAAATCTTACCTTAAGCTTGTTGAAACTTTCAAACTGAAAACAAAATAGACAATACTGTGTACAGGAAATAACATAATACATTATTTGCTAGATTAACACTTTGGCTTTCTATTGGTTGTAAATAATATAGTATAAAATGTCTCGGAGAGAACTATTGTTAATTTGTGAAACAGGATGGGACATATGGGTGTGGCAAGTGTGTCTGATTTTATAGTTTATGGCTCTGTAAACAAATAAGATTGAAGACTATAAAAATTATGGTTTGTTTTAGTAATATTTATATTATAATGAATAATTTACATTGAATTCTGTATTTCTTAGAGAGGTGGTAAATAAACCAGAGAAGTGGGAAATGTCAGATGTCACAATTCTCATACTAGGGGAGATTGAGAATTAAAAAAAAAGTTTCTTATAAAATTAAGAACTTAAAACTTATATAATAGTGAAAATCGACTTATTAACTATGTTTTGATGCTAAGTTTATTATATACAATGATAGTAAAGTAGTTTAATTAAATTTTGAATATAACTAAAAAGTTGTGACATGCACCCTTTCACCTGTCCCTAGTGAGAGGGTTACAAAGTTAATTCACAATTAAAAAATTATATTCTTGAATGGTGTTTTTTTTGGACTACATAGGTGTCATTATCATTAATTTATTTTAAAATAAGTAATGCTTGTGATTGTTAGACATCTGGATGCTGAAGCCATTGTGTAACAATATTTTCTAGCCAAAGTTCAGTTGATTCATTTCTAAGAGGCTGGGTGAAACCCTTATATTATAGTGTCATGTTCTTTGCTATATATGTGTTATTAGTATCAAAATTTGTTTCAGTATTTTTTTAACTTAAAGTCAAATGTGAGTTTATTTACAAGGAAAATTGTGCTTAACTTTAAGAAAGTGTTTAATTATAAAAAAATATATGCTTCAGTGAATAGGTGCAAGAAACCTTCTTAAGTAAACAAAGCTGCATGTTAAAGTTTTTGGCATTTTCTTTCCATTTTAGATAACAGTGAAGGAATTCAAAGAGAAAATTGCTTCATCAGTGGTGAGTTTTTTTGTTTATGAATTTACAATATGAACCAATAGATGAATTAATACATTTAACTCACCTAAATTAAAACAAAAATATGAAAACTTAAATTTTACATATGCTGAAAAAGTTGCTTTTCTAGAAAAGCTTCTTGAGAATGAAGCTTTGAAGCTGATGAGATAAATCTTGAAATTGTGAAGAAGCTCTAAGAAGTGTCTTGCTACCAATGAAACTTCCATGTGTTGGAAAGGTTGCCACTGTGATCCCTGGGTTTAAAAAGAAAGTCTTTGGAAAATCTGTGGAAACCATAATGCTTTTTGATTTCTGTTGTTTACATTGTTTTGGAATTTGTTGCAAAAATTATTTGAAAAGTTTGCATTAAACTGATGATTTTCACCAATGTTTTAGGAATTTGCTTCTTCTTTTTTGCTAAAATTATTGGAATTTATTGATAGTTTTTTTGTATGAGAGTAACTTGATTGATGCTGTTTACTTTTGACTCTTAATAAAACCTTTGGTAGGGTGCTCTCAAGAAATGGGTTAGTAAGTTGGATGTTTGTTAATAAGATCTTAGTCCTCACCTGAATGTTTATTAATAAGATCTTAGTCCTCACTTGAGTGTTTATTAATAAGATCTTAGTCCTCACTTGAGTGTTTATTGATAAGATCTTAGTCCTCACCTGAGTGTTTATTAATGAGATCTTAGTCCTCACCTGAGTGTTTATTAATGAGATCTTAGTCCTCACCTGAGTGTTTATTAATGAGATCTTAGTTCTCACCTGAGTGTTTATTAATGAGATCTTAGTTCTCACCTGAGTGTTTATTAATGAGATCTTAGTCCTCACTTGAATGTTTATTAATAAGATCTTAGTCCTCACTTGAGTGTTTATTGATAAGATCTTAGTCCTCACCTGAGTGTTTATTAATAAGATCTTAGTCCTCACCTTTCAATCTTGTTGCGGATTGGCTTTCCCATCTGGACAAAATCTATCCAATGGAGTGGTTTATCAATCCTCTCGATTTTCAGTGGCTTTGCCTTCAGTGGGGGGTTTACTCCTGACATAAATGCTTTTGCCAAGTCCCTCAACCACAGATTACCTCTGTTTTGGTCCCTCATCCTTTTGCTCTGGTTGTTGATGGTTTCAGCCAGGATTGGGCCAACAAATACTTGTATGTTTTTCCTCCCATTCGACTTCTTCACCAGGTGATTTCAATCATCTATACCACTTCATGTCAAGTCCTTCCAATTGATCCTTACTGGCTGGCTCAGCCGTGGTTTCCATGGCATCTCGAGCTCCAACTTACCCCTCCATTACCCATTCCTCCCTTCTTTGTCAACCTCGGTCACCAGTGCTTCATATATCCTTTCGTGTCCTCTGTTTTCATGCCTTGTTTTTATCCGGTCCTTGGTCAGAAGATCTGGCTTGTCTCAATGAGTAGCTTCATTTCTGGCTCGTTCCATTTGCCCTTCCTCCATGGAAGTTTATCAACGTCAATGGAACGTTTTCTGCTTTTGGTTTCTGGGTCGAGGGTTTTCCGCTCGTCGACCCACTGTTTCTTGTCTTGCAGATTTTCTTACTTGGCTTTTCAGTTGGAGGTCTTCTGTCTCCTCGACCACAGGTTATTGGGTGGCCTTGTCCCATATCTCTTGTTTTTCCCGATACCGTAGGGGTATTTACCTCTCCTACTCTCTCTTTGTTGATGCGTTCCATCCGCATTCCTTGTTCACCAAGGTGGGCTGCCCTTCTGGACTGGGATGTTAATGTGGTCCTTCATTGCTTCACTTTGCCTCTGTTCAAACCACTTTCCACGTGCTCCTTGTTTCACCTTTCCATTAAGACTTATTTCCTTCTCCTCTTAGCCTGTGGACATCGGAGGTCTGATTTATTTGTCATTGATATTTTTCATACTTTTTATTATCCTACGTATATTCTTCTTTATCCAGGTCGTTCTTTCCTTTCTAAAACTTTGGCAGCTATGGAGGGTAACTCCTCCTTTTTGCTGATTTCCCACCTTTATCCTAGGCCTGATCCAGACAGACTTCTATATCCTGTACGTGCTCTTTGCTGTTATGTTGCTCACATGGCTTTCTTCCGTGGTCCCGTTCCTGCCTGCATTCCTTAGCAGCCATCTCAGTTCATGATCTTTTTTCTTCTACCTTCACCAGTTGGTTTTGATTTGATTAGCTTAGTCCTCTTTATTGTCTTCCTCCCGTGTTTTGTTCTATCAAATTCAACACCTTACCTTTTCTCTGGTGAGACATTCATCCTACATTGAAGGAAATTCTTCAATTGGACATGTGGACTACTACTAATACATTTGTCTCTCACTGTTTGCATAGGATCGAGGTTTCTTCCTCCTTTGGCTATCGTTTTCCACCTGTAGGCATTTTTTAGACTTCAGTGAGACTTTGACTGGGTAAGTTATCTGTTATTATTCTTTATTTTATTTTCAGGGACCATATTTCCCTTTTTATTATTATTACTCATTGTTTGGATCCCGCTCTGTGACGAGTGGTGCCTGACCAGATATTCTTTAACTATTCAAATCCACACTGTCAAGCCATGTCAACTTGCATATAATAATTCCATGGCCATGCAACACACACTGTAGACATGGGGTGTTCACAAGATTGCTTGTAGGTTTATCCTCACGATAAAATTGCTTCATAAGTTTGCCTGTCCTGGACTGTACCCATTAATGGACTACATGGATAAAGCAGAAGGGGATAGCTGCCCATCACTCTCATGCCGTGTATTGAATAAATTGATATGGTCTCCTTTAAAAAAATTGGGTTTCGTGGTCACACATTGCACCGTCTTGGGTGTTGTCGTTCCTCTGGACTCTCCACCTCGTTTTATCCCCCTTTTCTTTCACTGGAGTTTGAGAGTTTTTACCATATTCCAGTTCCAAGCTGCTGAGGTGGTAGACCATGTAAGTATCCTCCTAAGTGTGTTAATGAAATACACACAAAGTATAGAAATTATTATAAAACCATTCAGTTGAGAGTAGGGAGGTGGTATGCTGGTGTAGGTGACGTGATATCCTCTCATATGAAACAAAAACAAATGGGAGTGAGACGTCAAAATTGCAATTCATCCCTTCGATTGGGATCTGTCATCCTACCCCCACGTAGATGTCAGTGGTTGTGTTTTGGATTCAGAGTAGAACCAATCAACATAATTCCTCATACATGTATTACAGATGTCTATATTCCCTCACTCATTTATACTCCATCAGTGATGTGGGTCATGGTGGAGGTAATTGTGGATTGCTACAGTTCTTTCCCTTGGGGTGGTTCCAGTTAATTTCACTATTGAGGGAGATTGTTTACATTTTGTAGTTATCTTTTCGATACTGAATGTTGGGTTCAAGGATCGATCTATCAATTCATCATATTCACATGTGCTCCGTTCATAAGTCGCGGGGTACTAGATTCCCTCTGGTCTCATGAACTTGAGGTGAAGATGGTGTGATCCTCTTTCTTACCCCCACATGGATGTCTGTTCCCAGTGGCCTGGGTTTTGGATTGTAGTCGACTTGACGGTGGTATGATCCTCATCCTACCCACACGTGGATGTTGGTTCCCAGTGGCATGGATTTTGGATTGTAGTCGACTTGCCGGTGGTTATGATTCTCTTTCCCACCCCCACATGAATGTCAGTACCTGGTAGCCAGGTTTTGGTTTGTAGTTGACTTGCCGTGTACAGTCCATTATGCCCTAGCCACTCTACATCTAGGGGCACATTCTTTTCATTTTACCCACTTTTGTAATTTCTGAGATTGAGTTTCATAAATATTGCATGGTTTGGATCACTTTCTGGCCATAGTTCTCTCCTAATTGTATGTGTTCCTCTGTTTTCTGCCCATATATGCAACATCTTTCTACGATGGGCGATTAGTACACCTGGTTCAGATGTGGTGCAGTCTCCCTCATCAGGTATTAAAATTGACTGTCTCATCTTAGGGGCGGACACTTTCGAGAGATGCTTCTTTCTTTCCCTCACACTGGTCCCTCTGCCTACTCAGTGTGGGATTCTAGCTAATCTTGTGAAAGGCTGGAATGTACCGTATCAGAAGTTATAATTTTCCTATACTGAAAATGTATTTCTGATAGGTACTTACTTCTACTCACACTTCCCACCCTTCCTCCTCACTTCCATTTCCTGCCAAAACTCGAAGTGACAGTTAGGTAGAATTGAATAGAGGGAGTCACATGCATAATGACAGTATGTCATACTCTTACTGGTGGAGGGTTATCACACGATGATTTGCATGAGAGACACATTGGAATTAGTAAATTTCAATTTAGGGGAGAAAAAAGTTTTGTGGCATGTGTTAAAAAAAAAGTTGCATATAGAGGACAGCACTGAACAAGAATATCTAATTATGTGAGAAGAGGTAAGTACCTATTGGAAATACATTTTCAGTTTAGGAAAATTATAACTTCCAATTTATAGGAATCTTCTACTTAAGAACAAGAACTTTATTTTAGTCCCAAACAAAACCACCGAGACTTTATTTGGAGAACTGTGTGCAGTTTTGCCTCCTGTAATTCTGTAAGGGTATCAACTAATTAATTTAGCTGTGCAAAGACAAAATACTAAAGTAATTCCTGGTTTGACTAATTTAAGCTGAGTTTTAGACCTGATTCTTGCAGAGTGCAGATAATTCAGGGTAACCTGATACAGCTGTTCAAAATTTAGGGGGAAGGTGGATAGTTTTCCAATGGGTTGTTTGAGTGATGGAATGAAAAATTTTGAAACAGACTTGAATATTAGGGGTAATATTTTTAAGCTTTGGAAACCTAGAAACATACTTGTTCTTAAATGAAAACATTTTATTTGGTTACTAATCTGAAGGTGTGGTTTGTACTGTTACTTTGTATTATTTAAAGATTTTTTTGGATATGTGAATATACATGAAGGGATATATATAAATTTTATTTTAAATTGACAATTAAGCTTTTAAGATCCTCTTTAGTTTTTGTTTTGAAAAAACATTACTTGTTCATGTGGCCTTTTGTCACATTACCTTTCATATGATCTAAAACTTACTCAGTCTCTCTTTCTTTGTGTTAGTCTGCATCATATATTGCTTAATGATTAATAATGATAATTTTTTACTCTACATTGTATTAATAATTCAGTTTACCTAGGCTGATTAAAGTGCAATTGTTTTTGAAAGTAATATGTGATATGGACTTTTGTTTTATTTTGTAATTACTGTTTATCCACCATATAGTTTGTTCAGTATGTATATACTGTATTTGACTACTAAAATATATATATTACTTGAATACATATTCTAACAGAACTGGTACTTAAAGAGACACAATTAAAATAATCAACTCGAACAATGAATTCTCAAAGGAAAAAAAATGGTAAAATTGAAAGAATGTTTATAGTAGCAAGAAACAAAACATAAACACGATGAAAGAAAGAATTATCTGAAATATTAAATCACACGATAGTTTAGAATTTGTAATTGTTGTGTTTTTGTCTTGGCATTTATCCTTCCTTTACCAACAAAAATAGATTTCATTTCTCAATATAATTCATGATGTTAGAAAAACACGTAGGTTCAGTAAGTCTTGATAGAAATGAATAAAAACCCTCCTTTTGAAAGTGTTTGTCTTATAGCTTCAGCAGATTGATTAAAGGTATTTTTTTGTATTTATAGAATAAGTGTTAGTCAGCTGTACAGAAGTTTTTTAACATTTGCTTTTGAGTTTATCTTGACATTTATAACTCAGATTTATTTTGCTGTGTTATCCAGGGCACTCCATCAGACAAACAGAGATTGATATTTTGTGGAAGAGTGTTGCAAGATGAAAAGAAACTTAGTGAATATGGTTTGTATCTGAAAATCTGTGTATTACTTTATGCGGGTGATAAGTGAAGGGATTTATTAGCCCATATTTGCCTTGTGTTCACTTTAAACAACTGGCTTGTTATTTCATCAGTATCTATATATATATATATTACTTGAAAATATTAGAATACTTTAGCTTTTGTTGGAAAATAATTTACACTAATAACAATATTGTAATTTATGTTTTTTGGTTTAATTACTTTTAGCTTTTGTTAGTTGTCTTTACTGAATATTGTCTGCATTTTCAGCAATTATTCAGTAGTATTGTTATTTTTAATGATGTATAGTTCCTGGCATTTTCCATTGTTTTTTTCTGATATGTTTGTTTAAATACAGCAGCTAGTTTGAGAATCTTGTATTTAAAATATACTGTTGAATTACTAGATGTTAAGATATTAAACTTCTATGCACATGTATATATTATGTGTTTCAAAAACTGGTCCTCAAAGGAAACTACTAAGAAAAGCTCATGAGTGGGAGATTTCCTCATTAGAAATGGAAGTACATACTAGTGGTTTTGGCCAGAATGGAACTGGTATGAAAAAAAAAAAACAAATTAATTCTTGGATTTGCTTTGTTTACCTCTATTTTGCTCATATTTTGAGTTACTCCCTCTTTTAATATACTTGCTCACCTCCACAGTGATTTATTTCACAAGCCTGCCATCAATGATGGTCGTGCATATGTTGGCAAAGTCCAAGAGGAATAAAATCAAAATGGAAATTCTTGATTTAAAGAGAAAAAAAAAAGTGTGGCAAAGTTGCTTTGAACATTGATAACAGTGTTAAGAACAAATGGTGCTGGGTTTGGTTATAAAAGTAAATTCCATTGGCTGAGCTTTTTCCTTATGGTTGCCAAAAATTGATGAATTTGTAATGTATCAGGTAAGCTAATTTCTTGGTGATTTTTGATTTATATAGTTTTTTAAATTTACTCATAAGTTCTTTGAACTATGAATTTGAGAAGTGTTTTAGTAAGGTGGATAATGATAATAATAGTTTAGATATTTAGTTGACTTTTTATCTACTTTATGTTAGATTTATTTATAAAAAATATTGAAGATCACTAGGGCCTACGGTAAAAGGTCTATCTATCATCATTCTTTAGGTGGACTTTTAGTAGTTAAATTGTATTTGTATTAATTAGAACTATTTGTGACTATCATAAGTTTAAAAGTTTATTAATGTATGGTGCATATATGTTGTTATTTAATTAATAAACTCATTAATAATAATGCATGATTTTCTACCCCTACCAATGGAAGCCTGGTTGGTTTAGGCAACCACATAGTGATCCCAGGTGTTCAGTATGGTTTCATTGCATATCAAAGCATAATTTTAAGTGGTCAACCCCTTGACAGCAGACAGCTTGCTTTTCAGAATGTGCATCATTATTACTTTATTTCGTGTGCTTCAGTCTTTGGATATTTACTCCATGCACAAGTAATTTGACATACCCAGCCTTTTGCTTCCATAAATCAAAACAACGTATTTTTGTATAAACATATATTTAACCCTTTCCACACAGGTCAAAGGCCATGTCATCTCATTTGTTGACTCGCATTCAAAATTTTATTTAGTTATTATTTTATGAATTTATCTCAATAAGTGTGATATCAAACTGTTGATAATAATCTCAATTTTAGGATTACACATTGCTCAATTTCTTAATTTAAAAGTAAATATTAAAAGAAAAGAAAAACATTGACTTTTGTGTGTCACATGGTACGTTAAATGCAGCACTAGTTCAAATTAGATGTTTGTGATATCAAAATACTAAGTCTATAGGAACTCAAATTACTGATATTGACAAGTTAGAATATAAAATAAGAATGTGTTATCTTTTCTATTTGGTAAGATATTGCTCATGTAATGAATCAAACACAGTGGCACCCTGCCCACCTCTTTCCAATTTTGGAACCACTCCCTTATATACACTTCATTCTATATATATATATGACATGAATAATGAATTGAAAGTTCAGAATGTCCCCTAGTGGCTTTCTTAGCCAATTTAAAGTTCTAGGATGCCATTTCTTTCTTTTG